TGGCCATTTACTCCCACGAGAAGAAACACTTACTTCACCTGAACCTGTTGAATCGTTCATGGCGGATGAGTTATCTGGGTCGGCCGGCATGATTAATTACTTCTTATTAGGGTTTTTTGGGGGTAGCTAAAAAGGGAAATCTTTAGAACTTTCTGATATTGCTTCCCTTTTTACCGTATCCACCAGTCAATCTTTGCTCTTTTTTTTCTTTCTTTTTTGTAACCAACTACCAGTTCTGATCAAACCAAGCTAAATTAGTAAATCACCATGACCTAGAATTAGCTCAAAACAAAGTAGACGAACAAAACCCAGATGTCAAAATCAACGGCGAAAGTCGCAAACTTTAGCAAATGAGCTTGCTTAAAAGGAAAGCTGATGGAGATAAGTCCGGACCGGAAATGAGAAGGGGACCAGTAAGCAAGTCGGCGGCTCGGAAATCTAGAGAGAGAAAGAGAGAGGAAATTAATGTGAGAACAGAGACTGCAAAAAGTCTACTGAGTCTTGGGTCTTTCATTCTTACTTCTTCATCAACCATTTACTCCCACGACTTGCTCTATAAAGTAACTTTCCAACTTTGAAGAATAAACATTCTCTTCCTCCTTTCAAATGTTGGTCCTGCTAACTAAATTATTGGTCCTGCTAACTAAATTATTGATTTGAATTATGCATAATGGGCTTATCAGACTTTGCAAGTCAAAGCTTTGCATGTTTAAGGTATTGTTCAAGGCTCTCCCCTCAAAGCCCGTCGTCACAGGCGGCATCGACGAGCTTGAGAATCTTCGCGAATCTGTTACTTCCGCTGCTTATGAAGAACTCAAACTCACCGTATTAACAAAAAATTATAATACTGAGAGCGACGGCCTAATATTGATTGAGTACTTACTTAATCTGTTGTAGTAAGCTATGAAGTCACTGTAGAGTGACTTTACCGAGAAGACAAGGTCGAGTAGAACGCATGAGAGAGATTATTTTCTTAGCTGCGAATCCACAAATATTACAGATCCGATTGGAGTGACGGATTTCGATTTGATTTCATTGCTCAGTGGCGATCTCATTTGCCCACCTGCTCCCTCTCTTCTGTCCCTTTTGAAACTGACTCTGCCATTTCACCGATGCGCTTGAGTTTCTCGCTAAGTGTGCGGACGTGATTGTTGAACACGCGCAAGACTGGTTCCGCGGAGACGTCGGGCGTAGCCATTGGTGGCGGCCCGGGATGGAGGAGGAGGAAAAGGGTTTAGATTGTCCTGTGAAGGGGTTCAGGGCTTTGGGGAAAGAGAGTGTGTCGAGTGGAGTGATTCGAATTGAGAAAAAGTAGAAAGTAGCCTTTCGGGTACTGCTTGCTGGTAAATTATTAATAGGAGTATTAATAATAGGAGCATTAATGTTTTCTATCTTTTGTTATGTTACAACGTGAAATATGTTATTTATTATAGTCGCAAAAAAGCCTGAAATTTTGTTTTTCGCGTCTACAATTGTACTTTATTTGACTGTCTTTTCTACCTTAACCGGAACGTCTAGAAATCATCATCGTTAATGAAATGAATTAGATTACAAATTGGGTTGTGCTATTTTAAGGCTATAGCATTACAGAAATTTTTTAACCCATTTGTAGGTACAAATTGCAGTGGAAGTTCTCTCTAAATCTTATAAGGATCGGTTTGGAAAGTCATCAGATAATTAGAATTGGTGTAATTATCAGGGTAATAATTATATAGCCTAGTAATTTCACAGTTATGTAATTACAATGCCTTGTTTGATTGTCATAGTATAATTACAGTGTAATTATAAGTTTACTGTTTGGTTGCACAAACGTAATTACATAATTAGATTAAACTTTAAATAAAGTAATTATCAAAACTTAAAAGTTAATATAATAAATATATGCCTATAAATATTTATAAGTATAAATGATATTATATTTGGTGTTTTTTCATGAATATATGATAATAGGTGAATTTGACTATAATCACACCTTAAATAATCACCTTCTTGTGTAGTTTTAATGCTAAAAGTGATAACAAAAAGCTCTTGTTAGTGCTTTTCATGATTTGCAGGTGATATATGTATAAGGAAGGCTAAGGAGCAGTTTTGGAGTCAAAATTGGAGAAAAGAGGCCAAATGTGTAAATTCCCAATGAAGCTACGACCTGCCAGCCCTTAGGATTAAGAAAAATGGTTTGGCCGCGGTTCTTCGCGGCAGAACCGCGGTGAAAGGCAGCTTCAGAACTTTAGAGATTCAGAGAGGGTTTCTGCCGCGGTGGAAGGCAGCTTCAGAACTTTAGAGATTCAGAGAGGGTGATTGGCCGCGGTTCTATCGCGACCGCGGCAGGCGCAGAAAAGTTCAGGGGTCAAAGTGTCAAATACGGGATTTTTAGACCTAAACCCTATTTAAAACATTAGACTTCGCCCAAGAGAAGAGGTATTGATTTTTAGGGTTTCTTAGCAAGGAAAACCATTGTGAGAGAATACTCAAAACATCTTTCTTCTTTACTTTTGATTTTTATGATGAATTCTATCTTAGTTTATTTTCCCATAGCCATGAGTAGCTAAATTCCTTGTCTAAGGTTTTGATGGAACCTATTGGGTGATGAACTTCTTGTTTATGTGAATACAAATTGCTAATTTAATCTCTATTTGTTCAACTTCGTGTTTGTTGTAGTTAATTGACAGGATCCTCAATTAGCTGTGCCTATTTAGTGTGCATAACTTGGAAAAGAGTGCATATTTAGGGTATTGTTGAACAACACCACTCCTAGATTATTAGAGGAATCTATAATTGCGGGTTTAAAGACGGGATTAGGGATAACGAAGCCTTGGGTGTAATCTAAAGTGAATCGTGCTAAATAAAGTAAGCTAGTGTATCATGGGAGAGTGCAATAGTAAATTACTGTGATTACTCGGGAGAGATTTACGGTAAGATGAGCGTTCATGATTAATAGAGATGTGTTGGTAAATTTGTATGAGCATAAACAGAAGGGATTCCATTAATAGGGGAAATCATTGCCTTAGCTTTTTATCATAATTGTTTACAACCTTATTAGTTTAGTTTACAGCTATTTAGTTACTTGTAAGCGTAGTTGTTAAAGAACATTCAACTGAGATTTGAATATTTGGGAAACTGGTTCTGAAGAGTTTAGTGGGTCTAAAGATAGTGATTGATAGGTTAACTCTCTGTGGATTCGACCCTGGGTGTAATACTCGGGTTATATTTGCAACGTCCGCAGAGTCCTTTTTAGATAGCATAGTTGGGCGTGATCACACATCTTCCTGATATATATATACTTGAGAGTACTCTTTAAGTTTGGATATCGCAATTGGCAAAAAGATAGGGTGTCCGGTTGAAAATAAATCCAAAGACTCGCCAATTGAGTAGATATAATCATTAGGACTCTCAAATTCTATATGCATGCAATCAGTACTATAGACCGGAGAAACTAAGTAATGTTTCAGGTGAAGCTTGTTAAATTAGGAGTACCTAATTCAACATCAATAGGATTAATGCACCCCGTTATTACAAGACACTCGAGCCTGTCACTTGAAATGTCCAATTTCTTCAATTCTTTGCAACTGAATAAGTACAACGCTTCAATATTGGCTAGATTTGCAAACATGTCCTCTAGCCATTTTTGCAGTGATGGCCACACAAGAGAAGTACAAACTTTTCAAGGCTTTGCAAGCATTTATTCTAATTTCTTCACGATTTCTCAATATGTGAAGATTTTCAAGATTAGGTGCTACAATTATACAATATCAACCACCTTGATTTCACAAGAAAGTTTCAACCAAACACTCTTCAATTTGGGTAAGGTTTTCGGGCAATTTGTAAACTGGCTAGCCCATGACATCCATTTAAAGTTAAATCCTCTAAACAATTGCAACTTGCACATATAGCTCGAAGAAAATGCTCGACCACAAATATATGTAGAAGTTTTAACTTTCTCAAAGATGGAAACTTTATATCATTGTAGGGCAATTCAAATCCACATAAATCAAGAACATTTAGTTCTATGGCAGCAAAGATTTCTTCGAGCAAAGGATAGTAATTTCCACAACCGGACGAGTGTACATTGGCAAAGGTACATAGCCCATTCGTCAAAAAATTATATTGTATATATAGGTTAATATTAGATTTTATTGGAATATAACATATATTGAACACCCTTTATTGGGGATTAATTATTTTACTTATTTCATGTTTGAACACCCTAAATGAAATTTCTGGCTTCGCCACTGCGAGTGTACACATAAAATCAACTCTTTGATATTACACATTACGAGTGTGTTTATCCAATTACCATAACGGCTACAATATTTACAAGATGGTAATTTTAGCCAAAACTTTTGTATAGAAACTTTTTGCTTCTGTCGATTTGCTAGAATTTTATTCACAATTAATTTTCATAAACTTTGATATGTTATTACGGAACTTTTGTAATAGAAAATTTTATCACCAAAATTTAAGTAGGAGAGGGAACTCCAAGCACTATACAAAGTCTTGGAAAGTGTACTGATCAGTTGTGCAACATTTTTAAGAAGAGGAAAAGATAGAATTATTTGCAAAATTGGCTCTGGCAATTTGGATGTGTAATCCTCTGCTACATCCATACCTTTGACAGAGAATAGTTATATTTTATGGCCATCGCTAAGTCTGCCACGGAATACAGAGATATACTGTCAAACTTCTCTATGACGATCATCTCTATAACAACACTTTACTATAACCATCAAGTTTTCTTTAGAACCAACTTTTATGTTATGTTATAATATATGTTATTTTTAACAACACTTCATTATAGCAATAAAAAAAATATCGATACAAACGAGACTGTTATAGTCATATTGGACTATACTAAAAAGTACAAATAGTTTAATTATATGCACTAACGGAAGAATCGGATCATTTATTAGGTAATTTCAAGTAAATCTCTTACTTAATAAATTCTCTACTAATTAGTAATCTGGTAGTAACTAACCATCAACATGCATTTACAGATTTTTTTTGTTTTTTTGGAGAATTTATTAGGAAGAACTGCGCAAGTAGAATTCTTTCCTTTTGTTTAAATATTGCTGTAATATTCAGAATAATAAGAATTTACCTGTTATATAATGACTAGACTAGAACGATAAAGAGAAAAAGATTAACCTGTTGAAGACAAGAATATTCGACTCTATAAAATTCTCCTCAGTGTTTGCTACACTTCACAAACTGAAATTCTTATGTGATATATACAAATTATGAAATGCCTCAAGTATGGTTGTACATAGCTCGGATTGGTTCGGCTTTTTTAATTGCCAAACTAAATCAATGGTGTCGGGTTTTAAATCTATAAACCAAACCAAACAAACAAAGTCGGTTTTTCAATCTCGGATTTTCTCGGATTTTTTCGGGGTTTTGGGTTTTCCCGGTAAAGTCTTCATAGCACAAAATATGTAACTTGTGCTTCAAATATTTCTTTAATCCTAGTAAAATACAACTATATAATGTATTTTCCAAGAAAATAACACATTAATATGAGAATAAGTCATAGCATTATACTAAAATATTCCATAATAAAGATAATAAAATTGCAAGCAAATATTGTTAAATAAGTCATGCTAAAATAAGTACAGCTAATAAGTACTATTAATTACGTAACTAAGCATTAAAGAAAACATAAATTGAGTTATACTTTCGTTATAAACCAATGTAATACTAAATAGATATCCAACACTATCATCATTCTTAGTGTTGAATTGAATTTCTTTTGTTAGCATTAGTATTGATTTGAACTTTAATTTGTTTGAGTTACCTCATTTATGGGCTAACAAAATTTATTTATCATTCAAGAATGTTAAGTCCAAACTTGAAATAATACGTTAAAAGATAAAACTGTGAAAAAGTCTACAAAATATTTATAAATTACATTACAATAAATATTTATATGTATAAAATATTTTTAAAAATTGTATAAATTTACTATCGGATCGGTTTGGTTTCGGTTTGACTTTTTTTTACCAAACCAAACCAATTATGGTGTGTTTTTTCCCAATACCAAATCACAATCGGATTTTTTTTTCAGTTTGATTCGGATTATCGGTTTGGTGCGGTTTATCTGTTTTCTTTGTACCCCTAACCTCAAGTATTTATTGGACTTAACAGAGGAAAGTATTAATAGGAACTAAACTCTAGAGAATTACTACGTTTATATCTACTATATATAAAAATAAGATGAATATATATAAAGGATACGTACATCACTTAAGATGAGCATATGACCTTACAATATTATCTATTCAATAGATTTTTATTAAATAGTCAAACCAAAACTAAAACTTATCATGGGGTCAAGTTTCATTTTTATATCTTTTAAAATTGTTAAGTACTTTTCTCGATTGTTTTATCTACCGTTGTTTGATGATAAACGTAATTTTAAAATAAATAATTTGTGTTTGCTTATTAGATATATTATTTCGAGTGAAAGAATCCATACTCCTTTGTATATATTCCTCTTATTTTAAATACAAGAGTCCTAATCCACATGAATTAGCATATAAGAATCCTAATAATCCTAAGGTTTTGGCTAGATTTTTTAGCTTTATAGTCCTATAAAATTATTGACTTATCAATTTATTATATCATTAAGAATTTTAGTTTGTGAAGGGTATCAAACACATCAACTAAGAAGAATTTAATAGAATCGAATATTTTTGTCTTCAACAGGTAAATCTTTTTCTTTTTTCGTTCTAGTCATTATGTAATTAGGGTTTTATGCCTATATATGATACTATATAGAACTTTAAAAAAAGAACAAAAATATGCAATATTTTCCAGATTTAAAAAAGGAAAGAACTCTACTTGTATAGTTCTTGCCTAATAAATTCTTCCTAAATTTCATTAAATGCATGTTGATGTAAGTATCCTTTGCATTGGTCCGCCTTGTTATTTTGTTGATGTTATGGTCTATTGCTACTGCTTCTTTTTGCATCTTTTTTTGTGCCAAGCAGTGGCGTACGTAGAATTTTTCATAAGCGGTGTCACTATTTCTAGTAAGAGGCCCGTAACAGTCAAAAAATATATTGAGGAGCGAAGGGAGTTCAAACCCTAGACCTCTCACAGCAAACATGAAGCTGTCAACCATTAGACTACTGAGTTGTTTTATTGCAAGTGGTGTCACTTTTAATGGTTTTATCTTATATTTCTGTTTTATTTATCATTTTTATATATATAAATAGTAAAAAAATTCGACGAAGCGGTGTCCCGTGACACCGCTCGGGTCCATGTAAATCCGCCCCTGGTGCCAAGGATCTATCGGGAATAACATCTCTATCTCAGGGGCGGAGGGAGAGTGTTACATACGGATTTGGACGAATCCAGTAACTTTTTACTTAGACATTGTATTTGTATTAAAAAGTTTATTAAATATGTATAAATACTTAATTGTGAACCCAGTAACTAACGAGCTATGGGTTCGGTTGCCAATTCAGAACCCAAAAGCTTTAAATGTTGCTTTCGCCTTTGCTCTATGTTCTCAAGGTAGGGGTAAAACCTGTGTATACACTACCCTCCCCATTTATTCGAGCTTTATGTACAAGCTGCAGTTGCTCAGAGGATTTAACTTTAAGTGAATGTCAAGGACTAGCCAGTTTACAAACTGCGGGAAATAATTTAACCAAATTGAAGAGGGTTTGGTTGAGTTTACCTTTTGAAACCAAGATGCTTGATATTGTAGCACCTAATCTTGAAAATCTTCACATTAGGAACAGTATTTGGATTTTAATTAGAATTATAACTTCTTGCAAAGCCTTGAAAAGTTTGTATTTCTCTTATGTGGCCATCATTGCAAAATGGCTAGAGGACATTTTTGCAAATCTACCCAATCTTGAAGCCTTGAACTTATTTAATACGTTGTTGATAGTTTGCTTTGGATTTCTCCTCAACTGAAAACCCTATCTTTTGTACGGTATAACTTAAAGAGTACCCTCAAGTTTATATATGATGATGTATCTAAACATGAGAAAACTTGTTGTGCATCTCTACTTTTGACACGTGGGAGGCAAAATAAATTGAAGGAAGTCAAAATGGAAAACTTTTCATATACGGAGGAACAGAAGTTGAGAGATTATCTTTCACATATGAAGGTACACTACGTTCCTCGGATCCTCCAAAACTACCGCCATAACATTCATTTCGAATCCTCCGAAAATGCATAACGATACACACCTGACAGCATTTTTGAAGGACCCGAACATAGAAGGTATATCATTGTTGTGTACTTGTTTTTAGTCTTCTTTTTTTCAACTAATTTTACGTTTTGCATAAATTTGCTAAACCTATGTTATTTATATATTTGTACTTGGTTTTAATATTGAAAACAATGTAATCTTCTAACTTATAGAGAGGTATGGAAGGTTTTGAATTTTGTTTGTTTTTGTACGCTAGTTTTTGTGAAGTTAGGATCTTACTAGATTTTGCTTCAAAAATATTTACGTTTATACCTGATAGCTGTGTGTTGACTTTTGTGAGGTCTCTCTTTTTCCCCTTGTTGAAGGAGACAGTCTTCCATATTTTTTCTTGGTCTTCATATGATTGGGTTGTGTTGATTGT